TTTTATCGCAGTAGCTTTGTAGTATAATTTCAAGTCAGGGATTGTGATGCCTCCTGACTTCTCTTTGTTGCCCAGAATTGCCTTTGCTATTCTAGGTCTCTTCTGGTTCCAGATGAATTTTAGGAGTGTTTTCTCCTGAGTCCTTTGTTACTGTAGTAACTATCTAGTAGTGCATATGCTTACTTTAACTTGGTATATTTCTGAAGAATAGGTGCTATGAGAAGGCAAAACTGAAGTTACCTTCAGAGTAGCACAGAGTCTGTGCAGAATCTTGGGAGGCTATTATGCCTTACTGACAGATCTGATGCACACTCAGTAGGGCATGAACATAATAGTGTTGTGGCAAAACTGAGTCTGAGAAAGGAATGAAACCCAAGGAAGTCAGGAGGCATTGAACAGCTTTATTTATACCTGTGGTCCTGGCCAGGAACTGTCGCTTAACAAAGGCAGGCACCTGATACCTGTGGGCTAGTATTTTTATATGATGCACAAGCAGAAGGTATAAAAGTGAGGAAGAACAGCCAGGCAGTTCTCTGCTTACCTAGCAGGGTGAGATCATCAGTTACAAGGCTAGATTAATGATCTTGTCCCTTGGTACAATCAGACATCCTACATGTTCAGGTATGCTCTTGTGGTTACAGGGGTCAAGAAAGTAATTACAAAGACATGAAGCAGTTTCAGAGTGAGGCAGTTTCAAAAGAAAAAAGTTTTAAAAAGAACATTTTTTCTTTTACAGTTTTCACCTTCAGTAGCATGAGGTTTTACCTCTTAAGACACTGCACACATTTGTGTATGTGCACGTGTGTATGTGTAAAACAATCTAAGCTGTCATGCCTAGATTTAGACAAGTATGAACATGTATGAGTGCTATTTTAATGGAATTGTAGCATTTTTCATGTTTTTCAATGGTTCTTTCTCTGAAAATTTGTTTTAATGTTTACCTTATTACATCATTGTTTTGTAGGAATTAGTTTTGTGATTTATAGAGTATACCACATTAGATTTTATATATTTATTTTAAAATTAGAAGCTTTTGACATTTATCCTCTTGATGGGTTAAAGTTATCTCAGTCAACACTTAAACTGGAGTTACGGAGGAATGTACCTCATTTAAAAGGATTATTTTTTCCAATTTTATTTTAAATGTTAGAATCCGGAGTGTTGGAACAGCAGCTGTTAACATGTGCCTTGTGGCAACTGGAGGAGCAGATGCGTATTATGAAATGGGAATTCACTGCTGGGATATGGCAGGAGCTGGCATTATTGTTACTGAAGCTGGTGGAATACTAATGGATGTAACAGGTAAAATTATGGGGTAATAAAGTACTTTTTTCTCCACATCTATTAGATTTTCCTCTATAGGGTTATTAAAAATGATTGATATATATTATGCTTTAGCCTTTAGGAAAATAAGCTGTATAATTGCAAAATCAAAATGAATGAGGTGATAGATGTAGAGATAAGAGTTAATGGTAATGTGGGACTGATAATGGGAAATGGCTGAGTTCTTGAAATGTATCAAGAGTTCCTGAGAGACTGTGGAGAAGGACAGTCACTGACTCTGAGGGTTTTAACAAGAGCTCTCTGAATGGTGACCATGGTGATGAGTAATGGGGGACAATGGACTTCCTCCACCACCTCTTTCTACTTTGGTCCTAGTGAAGTTAAATACTTAATCTGTGCTGATGGTAAAAATGTTAAAGCATGAAATTAGTTAAAAGAATTTGCCAATTACCAGGTACAAAACAATGAGGAAGTGGGAAGGAAGAATGGTATGAAAGTGCATTAAATAGAGATTTCTTGTCTCTAGATTCTCAAATAAATAGGTGATAGTACTGCACAGCACAAGAGACAGAAAGAAGACATTTTTCAGACTAGTATGAGTTGAGATCCCTCCTTATATTGATATTTACTAAAAAAAACAAAAAACTTAGAAACTCAGTTATTTACTGCCAAAGTTTAAACACTGTAGTTATATGATAGAGTAGATTTTTTTAAAAGATAACTGAGCTTATTAAAATAATATTAGGATTGACCATAATACATACTGTAACTTTTTTTCCAAATTATTTTTTGCACAGGATCTAACCTTTTTCCATATTTTATTTGATCTTAGGTGGACCATTTGATTTGATGTCACGAAGAATAATTGCTGCAAATAGTAGAGCATTAGCAGAAAGGATAGCCAAAGAAATTCAGATAATACCTTTACAAAGAGATGATGAAGATTAATTACAACTGCCTCATTATTCACATTTATTTTTCCCCAGATTTACTGTAGCAGTGATGGATATCTGTTTCATATGTGTCAAAAGATTGATTTAGATTGTCTTTAATGTTCTGATTTTAAAATGAGAAGTTAAACCATAGGCTATATGCAAAAATAGATGTAATAATTTGTTTTGTGGCCTTAAAAAATTCTGTGTGTAAGAATATACTTTGAGAAAAACATGCTGGAAGTTTAGTTTTGTGAGCTGTACATTGAAATACTCAGCTAGCAATTTTGTGTTTCTTTGTAGGATCCTCTGAAATATTACTATACACAGACACACACACACACACACACACACACACACACTTTCAATTAGAAAGTGACCTTTTTTGGAAAAAATTTCTCTTTGTTCTGAGAGCTGTATTTAAGTTTATAAGGATATAATAAGTTGCTTTTTAGATTAAGGTTTTTTTTCTTAACAGAAAATATTGTATCTTCATATATCACCTAACGCAGCACATGTCCAGTATTAGGCACCCAAGAACGAACATTTTAAGACTGAATTTTGTTTTTAAAATAAAATTTTCTAAATTTTATTTTGAAAAGAACAAAAACAAAGCAACACAAAAACAATGAAAATGATACAACAATGGTTGTTGTATTACATATTGTTATCTTCAAAGTAGTTTCCCAGGTTACCAAGCATAGGCATGCAAAATTGATCAAACAGTTAAGCATTAACTGTTCCTTTCAATAAACCAATAGAAATTAGTAGTACAATTTATCTTAGCTATCTTGTGTGTGTATATATATATTTTTTCCATTTCTTTCTTTTCTCCTTTCCCTCATCCCAGTTCTTTCCCATTGAGCAGCTTTTTCCTTTTCACAATGTCTATTGTACCTTTCAGATTTTATTTACTCTTTACACATGTGGGTCTAATTTATTTCACTTATGAGTATCATTTCTAGTTGCATCCATTTACCTGTAAAAGCCTCAGATCTGTCTTTTTATAGCTGAGTAATACTCCATTGTATAAAATAACATATCTTTTTTTATCCATTCCTCAGTTGGTGGGTATTTGGGTTGTTTCCAAGATTCAGCTGTAACAAATTATGCTGCTATAAACATGGGTGCACATATATCGCTGTGGTATCAGGTGTTCAGTTCTTCTAGGAAAATATCCAGAAGGGGAATACCTGGGTCGAAAGGGACCTCTAATCCTAGTTTTGTGAGGAATCTCCAGACTGATTACCACAGTGGTTGTATCAGTCTACACTCGCAGTAGCAGTGGAGAAGTGTTCCTTTTTCCACACAGCCCCTCCAGCATTTGTTATTGCTTGATTTTTTTTTCTTTTTTTCTTTTAAAAATAAAAGGAGGAAAACATTAACAGACAGACAGCATTTTACAACATAGCAAAAGAACAGTACAGACAATACGGAGTTACAAACAAAGTGGTAGGGAATTAACAATGGTGGTTGTATTACATATTGATATCTTCAAAGTGGCTTCTCATGAAAACAGATACAGAAATGCAATACTGATCAACCAAAGACTCATTGACAGTTTCTTTCTGCATGCAAATAGAAGACAGAAGAACAACCATGTCAACTATCCTGTATATACATACAAAATTTCTCCTTTCCCTTCTCTTCTCCCACTTCTGAGGTGCCCTTTACTCTTGAGCAGTTTCCTATCATTTCACAGTGTCTATCATAACTCCGACTTTAAATTAACTCAAGTTTTACACTAGTGAAACAATGTGGTGCTTCCACATGTACGTTTATTTCACTTACAAGTATGGTCTCTAGTTGTGACCATTTGCCTATAAAAGCCTTGAGTTTATCTTTCTTTACACCTGAGTAATATTCCATTATATAAAAGTACCACAATTTTCTTA